TCCGTAGGTATATAATGTTGTTAACATGTTTTGAAAACCTCAGAACTTGACTCCGAAACCGTGCAAATCTTTGAAACCTTCCAGTAACTGTCTCTCTACCATCGAATAATTCGAAACCATGTTCCTTCTGACGAGAATGATTTATTGCTCCCGACATTGCGCCAACGTAATAAAAATGTGCGAGAAATGTTTTGCCATACTTGTACGAGTGGTACAACCCTGTTATTCCAGTTATAGTGACATAAAAAACGGGGGGGGGAGGAGTGGTTTGGATATATTAAGGATGTTTAACCTACTACACATACCTAACCAATGTGATACCATTCTTGGTATAGTACCTATGCCAATATATGTGTTTGGCACTTGACACAAATGTCTATTTAATATTGCACTTGTATAATAGGCTTAGTTCTTAAGACCACATACGTATTTTACTTTAACAAACACTACGTGAAACATCTCGCAATGAATGTGTAGGTCTTACAGTAATTTAATTTTTTTTTTTTTGTATTTCAATACCTTTTGGAGCTGTAAAATTAATGTTTTGACAGTCAACTTTGAAGGTGGATTCTATTTGAAGATTGTATCTAGTTTGTAATAATTTGTGAAATATAACCAGTACTATTAAAAATAATCGAAAAAAAACAAAAATTTATACGGACACAACCAGTTTTTACATTTTTTTTTTCTAATTCAAAAACTAATAATTGCAGATGTTATAAAATATTTGTATATAAAAATATTTATACTATAGTTTACTATATCTATATATATAATATATTTTATAAAATATTGAAATTTTTGATTCTATCAGACTTTTTTAGAGCAAATATTTGTTTCTGGGTAAAAAAAAGCTTAAAAGTTGAATACAACTTTATCAAAAGTTTTTATTGATAAAAAAGTGTTGTTACATACAATTCTCAAATTCTTTCGGAGTTAAAAATGTATACAATTTTTAAATTTAATAGTTAACAGTTAAAAATAAATACCAGGTTTCTGATAAGTTTTTCTTACAGAAACATGAAAATCTCAAAACTACATTTACATAGTTTTTGTTTATGGACGTTTTAAGTTCAACATTTTACTAAATATTATTTGCTTATAATTTTATAAATGTTTTCACTGGGATTTAAACTCTTTTCCGCTAAGTACTTGAATTACTGACACAATTAAATTTTCAAAATATGTAGATTAATAAATTATAAGTCATAATATTTTATAACACAAATCTATTCCCGTCAGTCTATGGTACGTCGGTGTTGACTTACAAGTCACAACTTATAACTGATTTATTTTCAGCAAAAATCTGTTCAACCGGACGTACTATGACCAATAGAAAAATAAATTACCAACAGTAATATTTACAAATACATAGTAAGATATTTTAAATGACTGTCTTTGCTCAAAATCGTTAATCATATCCAACTCTTGATTTAAAAATTACAAATTTAGTACATTCAATACAGAGACCCCTAATTTTTTATAAACTTTATTTTACATTCCACAACACATGCTCGGTATTGGAAGTGGCTGTCGGTTGCCATTTTAAGAAGACGCAAAGACACGAATTACTACGAAATAACTATGCAATCGAAATACCTTTTTCCTCGCCATTTAAGTCACCAATCAGAATCGTTCACATCTCAGTAATACGTAATAACACAAACCTAACACAACCAAAATACGGCACTATTTTCGATTTCATTTTATTTTACGAACTACCAATTTATTGTGGGTTGTTTCTTATTTTCTTATTTTCTTATATTTTGTGGATTTCCAATCTTGATTTTCATAATAACGTACCTATATTCTGCGCGTTTCAGTTAACCGATCGAATTATTTTCCTGGAACCGTTGTAAATTGTTCTTCCATGTGTGATACACAATTCATAATAATTATGGTTTTATATCCGGTGTATATTTTCATCACAGTCGTTAGAGGGGAAAAACATTATGAGGAATAAATACACAAACAGACATTACCGCAGCTTTAAAACGTTCGCTGTATGAATTTACCGACTATTATGGACGCAATTTTCGTTTAATGTTTCCGGCGTTATTGCCATCTAGTCAAATAAACGCTGTATATTCCAATTAAACCGATACTGACCTTCAATAGAGAGCACATAAATTACAATAATCCATGGATGGTTTTGTGGTAATTTTAATTCCAAAATGTGCAGTTTTAAAAATACGACAACGACGATATTATATCATAGGCTATGGCAATATGGCATACATAATATGTTATATAAACACCTATACGATAAAATAATATTATAAGACAATTTTGTTGTTATTATTATTATTATTACTATTATTGTTACATCAGTTGTCTATTTCGTTTGAATGTGTGTCTTAACATGATTTTCGTCATTTCACAAACGTCACAAGATAAATGATAAATACCTACATATTATTTTAAATGATAATGTACATTATTATTTAAATAAAATATGTAATATTTAATAATATATATCCTAATATATATACCTTAATTGTTTGTTGTTTTTCCCTGCAATTTTGAAAACTATTGGGAATTTTAAATTTTGACCCCCGAATTCACCAACTAGATTCACTTTCCCATCGAACAAGATACTGTTGAAGAAGATTAAAGCCGTTTTACTGCCCCAATAGTGGTGCCCGACACGAAAATACAAAAAAATTAAAAAACACACATCATTGTAAAATCATTACATTCATTGCTCCGATGAGAATCTAAAGTAATACTGGAAGGTATCAAACCAAAGTTGAAATATGTTTACCAATTGTGTTGACTATCAACCAAATAAAATAAAATAAGAAACTCATAAGTCTGTAGACACAACTGCAACACACCATGATTGACACACAAATGATAATAATATTATGACGTATTAACGTATCATCAGTGGTTAAAAATAGTTTTTCAAAAAAAAATAACACGCTTAGACAATCGACATGAATTGTTTTGAAGAAAGTAACAAGCCCGTACTTGCTATAATTGTCTTCTTAACATTTAGATCAGGTTAAAATATTTGTTGCATGTCTCATTAATTTAGGACTTATTATATGTGTGCACTAATAAAACCTATCGTGAGCTAAAAACACAAAAATGAAAGCCATCGATATTACACGAGACAGCCAATCGAATTTAACCTGTGCAATTTTACAAAAGAAATTGCCTGACATCTCTGTAGCCTAAACTAATGAACTTATTGACTTGAAATTTACACGGGTTGATGAGTATGATATGTAGACGATATTTTTACAAACTTCAAATTGATCAGAGGATTAAAGTTTGAGTAACCAAGTAAAAATGGGTTAGATGCAATGATTCAAAAATATATTATGAACAATAACCTCGTGGAGCTAAGGATGTTTACATTATCGATTTCAAGAAACATTCAGAGCTATATATCATATAAATTTACTCAATCCATAAAACAACAAAGATATTATGTCCCCACAGTTTTTTAAAAAAAAAAACATACTAAAACTAGTCAAAATCGTAAAAAAAAAATTATTGATATCCTAGCAAAAATACTCCGAAAACTAAGTGTACAAATCTCTCTAAGAAAAAAAAACTCAAATTAGAAAAATTGTGATATTAAAAAGGGGCTAAGAAATTTTTTTAATTCATTAGTATAGAAATTGTTTCTAATTGTTTGTATTTTATGAAGTGTGATGATTGAATACAAATAATTTAACTTAGCTTGGCGGTTACTAATATTTAGTACTACAACTAAACATATAATGCAACATATAAATATTTACACATCTATTTTATATTTTTATAATATTACCATAACACTTTTTAAGTACATACTATAGTAGCCACCAAGCTAAGTTGAATTATTTGAATTAAAATATCGCACTTCATCAAATACAAACAATTAATTTCTATATTAATGAATTTAAGAAATGACTTAGCCCCTTTTTGATATCACAATTTTTCTAACTTGAGTTTTTTTTTTTCTTAGCGAGGTTTTTACAAATAGTTGGCGGAGTGTTTTTGTTGAAATATTATATAAGCCAGTAAACTATAATAATTATAAACTGTAGAAAATTGCAACAGAAAATAAAATGAAATTGAATTATTTTCTACTGGACTTAGGTCATAGGATATTACCCAGCATTGTATTTCTACTGTTATAAGCAAAGTTTACCAAATGGACTTTCATATCAAACTCATGTTTACATACAATATTATTGTATAAAAACGAATGAAAAAATATTTAAAAAAAATTAAGTTTACTAAATTATACTTACAAGTTACAAGTATAATAATAAATACAATATTTTTAAGAAAATACTTTTATTTGCATACAACTTCTATAACAGTGTTTCCCAACCTTTTTACCACCACGGACCACTTTGACAATATTTTATAGGTCGCGGACCACCTCAATTTTACTCAAACTAGGAAGACCTTTTTTTTTTTTTGCTCATTGACAAGAATAAACAAAAATTTATTGGAAAATTTTTATTATTTTAGTGTACTATACTACTATTATATCTGAGAAACAAGAAACCTTGACCAACTGTTTTTCATTTGTAAATATTAATACCTATAGTTGAAACATAAAATTGTAGATGATTAAACAATATTAAGGTTTTTCATTGATACTGAATCATTATAACATGAACAGCCTAATTATTTTGACAATTAACTAAAAAAAACTCTTTTCAGGGGCTTGAGCAAAAAAAAAAAAACGCAATTCGTTGATCACATAATCATAATAATTATACATATAACCTACCTAGATTTTAGGTAATTCAATACGATATTTTTTAGGTGGTAAAGTGCCCATTGTGACCATAATACACAACGTAATAATTGATTTCGAAATTAAGTATACACATGGTGGATAATAATATGAAAGGATATTTAAAATTATAGTTCATTGCGTTGTTGACTACATTGTTCTGCTAGAATAAATACACTTAACTGCCTTCAGTCGCTAATATCTTTCAACTGACAGAACACTGAAGCAAACCGAGTTGTCTCTGTGAAGTAAAATGGAACATTTACTTAGCACAAACATTGTGTTTGCAATTGTAATGGCATTGTTGGTAGTACAGTCATCTGTAAGTGTAATGGGTTATCATTTAGTTTTTCCACCGTTTAACAATAATATAATTTACATGGTTTAAATTTGTCAGACACGACCACAACCAGATGAATTGGAGGAAATAAAAAAGACACTGTACAATGCATGTGTTTCAAAGTTTCCAATTTCGGAAGGTAGTTATTCTGAGTAAGTTTTAAGTCGAATAATGGATGATAAATTGCATGTTCTTGTTTTCAGAAATCAGAAATAATGCGAAAAATTCTATAATTTCAGATGACCCAACTTTCAAAGTGAGTTATTTAAATCATTGTTATAATATCATTAGGGACACCAGATTTTTTTTGACGACGCGATTAGATAATACAATCACAGTGAAATGATTTTAATACTATGCTTAATATATCATAAGACATATTTTATTTTAACCATTTTATTTCATAAATTAAATTGGAAAAAAATTCAACTGTAGATTAGATATCACAGATTACTTGGTATTTAACTTTAATATAATATAAAAGATATAGATGATATAGGTATAAAAACTAAATACATATCGAAATAATATAATTATGTTGTATTTCAAATTTTTAGTAATTCTTACTTTTAATAAAACAGTTTAATCTTAAAATATTAAAAAGTTCGTTCTATGTCCATAAATGGAAATATACTTATCTAATTTGTTTATTTAATACAAATTATGCCTATAGTTATTTGTTTTAATTTTATGAATATCATTCTTATTTATATTATTATTATTCTTTATTAGATATGCCTATTGCAAATTATAAAATTAATTACCAGTGAATCAATGTTTAGTTTCGCATGGATAGTTATTATTAGTCTTTAAAGTAAGAATCAATTACCACATTCGTGATATTAATATTGGTGAATATGTTTTAATTTATAAATAAACAATTATTAATGTTGGATGCAATTTTCCTAAAAATGTATTTCAAATAATTTTAAGGTATTCTGTAAGTACATGGGATTCGACTAGATATGAATAATATTTATAGTTTTCAAAAAGTTTCTGTGTATTCAAATCAATTCATTTTTTTAAGTATTTCGATGTATAACAAATTAATTTTTAATCGGCAGTTATACAGCCATACTAATATCATTTTAAAGATTAGTTGAGCATAATATGGAGTGTCATGGCTGGTGTCCTATATAACATTGTCCTAATACGTACTAAACGTTTGAAATTCAATTTCTATAAACGAAAATATACTGTATTGGAGAGTGAATTTTAAAAACCAGGAATGTCGATTTGGTGTATAGTAGTGATAGATGTGTTATTTGAATTTCCACGATAAATCATTACACATACCTACTATAAAATATGATTTTGGTCGTAGATGGTATAGCCGGCCTATTAATTATATGGTTATTTTGTATTATATAATTAAATACATTGAAATTGTTATTTGTATTAAACATTTTTTTTTTTTTTTTTTGAGCAACATGTGGTAGATTGAACTCATTTTCGTCAATACTTAATCGCAAATATTATTATATAAAAATATTATATTATTATTAACGAACCAATAAGTTTGTGGTATAAATAGGTAGCTTATAATTATGTAATTTATAAAGTCATATTAATGAATATATTATTTTTTTAGTGCTTTTTAAAGTGTTGCTTCGACGAGATGTCAATGGTAAGAATAATAAACAGAGTTATCAATATGTAGTTGGAAAATTTGTATAATTATTTGTTTATATTGAGTAGATTGATGAAGACGGTATTATAGATGGGGATTCATTGAAAGCAATGGCCCCGGACCATATTAAGCCGATTTTAGAGGAAGTCGTCCCGATTTGTTTAAAAGGTAATATTTTCCATGTACCTAATTAATTAATTAAAATGTTTTTTTTCCCTTTTGAACATATTATACGTAGGCAATGTGACGCTAATTGGATTAACCTCTGAAAGTAACAGATTTTCTTTTGGTTCGGTCACATACCACACTCATTGATTTAATTGGATTTCATCGATATTTGTCGTCAGATTTCGGTTCCTGGTCAAACATTTTTCTTTACCGGAACTACCACACATTTTAGCAAAATCTAAGCCAGGTGGTTGTTGGAATAATAAAGTGACTCTACCGAAATCACATTACTTGGCATGCGTTAGCCACGCATCCTAAAGCTCACTTCTTGATGTCACTCTTATACGAGACAGATTTTATTGTATAATTATATTTCCAACACCTACTCACAAATTTATAGACAATTGTGATCTAACTGATAAAAATACAATCATTCAATTAGCATAGGTACTATACAAGTATAATATTGATTCTTTAAAAAAAGAGAGACAGTTTGGAGAGGAAATATTTTTTTAATATTATTTACTAACTATAATTTATTATTATTAATGACTATAAGCCCAAACCAACATCTATTTATTTTTCTTATGTTTGCAGATGTTAAGCAAGATGGTTGTGAAGCTTCATTCCAATTCTTAGCCTGTGGTATAAAATTAAATCCATTAACTGTAAGTCACAATAAATATAATATACAAAAATAAACATTACCAATATAAATCAGTCTAATTTCATTAAATTATATTTAAAGTTTAAAAACACTGAATTTTGTTATTTAAATCATGTGTTGTATATTATAATATAATATCTCATTTATATATAGATACAACTTAATAAAATCGAAATTTAATTTTGTTTACAGGTTCAACTATTGCCACTGTGATACAGTTTTGTTTCCACACACTCATAAACAGATAAACATAGTAAAATCTTTATTATACGAAACACTGTTGGTACGTACCTAGTACGACTTACTTGTCGATGCTAATTTCATATTATAACATCATTTAAATTAGATCGATTGTAATTTTGCACTTTAAATAAAGAAACGGTTTTTGAACTCAATGTTGTATTTTCTTATTTAATAAACGATAGCAATATCTTCTTATTACTACTTTAAATCGGATAAATAATCATACATTATATTAATTATAAGATTAAAATTACTTATTCATAGAACTGAAAAATGAATGAAAATACTTACTATATTTTAGGATCTAGTAAAACTGCCCTAATTGTAGATAAAATTATGTCGAATCAAATAGGCAGTTGGATAGTTGACTCATAATTTTAATGATTAAAATGTGGAATATCAAATTGTGTAATATCGCTATAAAAGTGTTTATTTATCTACGATTATTGTTTCATATACTAGACGTTTTAAACTGAACTTACCAACAAACACAAATAAATGTATAAAGACAATATTATATTATATTATCAATAAAATAGGCAGTGAAACCCCCAACTAAAACAAACAAATTTATCAATTTAATTTTTTTTATGTTAAAAATCGGCTATAGTCATGAATCATGATGAACCTTGTATTTCATGACGTTCAAGTCTTCGATATTTAAATCAAATATTTTATGTATTTTCAACTACGAAATATTTTCAAAATGTTCAGGATTTTATCCAAAATTTTTGTTTTAAAAAACTAAGATGATTAAATCCTTACAAGAAAATGGTGACTACGTATTTTCAATATTTTTAAATTTATTTCGTAGCAACTTGGTCTACCTTGTATTAAATTTATAAGATTTTGACCTAAAAACATTATTTTTATTATCATAAACCAAAAAGAATAATTATAATGCAGAAATATTTCAAATGTTAATAAATATATAAAAAAGAGCCAAATATGTTTACATTTTTTATATAAATATGAATATTTGGTGACAATTTCAAGTGTAAATGTAGACTCCCATCATTCCTTTATGAACCATTTATCATATTTCTGCTGTATTATAATTGTTTTTCGAAAAAAATTAAAAACTTTATACAATTTGCTACTTACCAGAAGAACCTAGGAAAGTTGAAGATTAAAGTATTTTGTTAAGCTCTAAAGAGCAATAGTAGAAAAACATTATTATCTCATTAGAAATGAATATTAGAAAAACGCTAGCGATTAAATTACCAGAGTATCACCTAATACAATTAATTATTTGCTGCATGAATGATGTATTTAATTTTTTTTTATATTATATTAAATTGTTTTATAAACAAATCATCATTACCTTTCGATTATTCAATACAAAAATTCAACCATTATAATGATGGTTGCCTATAAAAAGGTGATAATATATATTATAGTAGGTGCAAAACTTAAAAAACTCAATGTTCCTATTGACACGAATTGGGTAATTATATCGTTAGTATCGGTTCTATTATTATATCGTTAAAGTCTACTCGTGCGTCCAATAAATATATCAAAAATACTAATTAAGATGGTGGATGAAGCTTAAAGATAAATTATTGTATTTCTGTGTCAGCAGATCAGAAAATTGGTAATAATATTCGATACCAGAGCTGTGTCAATGGTTCATCATGAGTAATGACAAGTGTATAATTCATCTTTAAGAAATCAATCAATTCGTGACACATTTCTTTAGCTTAATGTTGTCATCGTTGTCATAAAACTGAGTAGATAAAATCATTGTTCTTATAGCTTTAAAAATTTAAATTTATCGTTTTATATAGTAAAAAAAAAACAGTGCCAATTTAATCCTTAAGGGGATTTTACACCCGCATGTGTTGTCTCCGTCATCAATCAAACTTAAAGGTAAAGATTATATTTACTGTGTTTTCACATCGGGTAATTGCGGTTTTTTAATTTTTAAGATAGTTATGAAAATTGTAAAATTTTAACATCTCACATAGGTGGGTACTCATATCTTGCTTGAATACTAAAATATCGTAAAAAACAAAAGAAAACATAGATAATATCTTTTTTAAATCGAAAGTTTCAAATATATTATAAAGACCACAATTAATTAAGCTAAAATACTTTGAAAATTATTTATTTTATAAATATTAGGAAATATTTTCAAGTTGCAACGAGAGTTATTCATTTAAAAATGAAATAACAAAATTAATTTTCTTAACAATTCAAATTGCGTAACTAAATTTTATTGTTTTTTCTTAGAACATTTTTCAATTTTTCCTGATTATATTGAAAACCACTGAATTTTTCCCTAAGCATATTCTATGTTTAATATTGTCTATTATAATCATAGACTTATAGAAATAGACCGAACATTTGTCCCGATTACTGGGAGGCGTGGTCGTGCCAAAAGGATTAAGAGAGATAGTATACGAACTTTATCATAAGAGTGATAGATAAATTTCACTGTTCCGAGGACAGCCAATACATAGCTTTAATAGCTCCCAATCCTCATAAGAAGCTCCACCAATTCACGAGTTATCATACCTTATGTTCCGTCTATTTCTAGAAGTCTGTGATTATAATATAAACTGTCTTGAGACTTATCTAGATACCAAATTACTCTTATTATATTATCTTATCTAGATCTGTTGTGACATTTATCTATTAGTTATCTTAGATGATATTATATTTACTTATCTAGTTACATTTTATTTAAATCATATTAATTTTTCATGAATCATATTTTTTGACTAAAATTTTTTTTATCAGAATACTATTCAATTAATACATAATAATAGCATAATACTGTATGTACATATATTGAATATTAGTTACTTAATGTTTAAGTAGGAAAAAAGTGAAATATATAATGTTATTTAAATAAAATACAAATTAGTTTAATCTAACATATTATCTATACAAAAGTTAGCACTTATCATTGTATTTTTTAAACACTTGAATGATACTGGACTACTTGGGTAATACATATTTAGGAATTTGGTACTAAATGTTAACAGTTAACGTATAAACCGATTGTAAGATATCCATTTTTCATCTTTAAGTCATCAAGTATAAACATTATTAAAACAAACTACAGAATACTCGTTTGACTATCGACTTTGATGTCACAACATTTTTAGTAAAAAATAATCGTCTACCTATTATTATATACAAAAAAAGTGACGGTTTCTTTAAAAAATGCATAATTTTGTTTCTCCTCAAACGGCATATGAAAATGTATGTATATGAAAATATTATAATCTTTATGTACTACTATACTTAAAAATTCCAGGAACGGAATTTAAATACTTGCATAATTAAAATATATAATTGGGTCGATCATGTGCTTAGTGAAACACCCTTTATTCAATATACAATATAAATATATGTTTGCCTTCTCCTATAATTCCCGTGCACCAACAAAGTATAATTTACTTTTCTATCCATCTCCTGCCAGTACTTTAAAACTCAAATAAGCGTTTGACTACATGATGGCAAGAAATAATCAAGATTTTGAAATATTTACATAATCTAGAAGTACAAATTACTAATTAGGTAGGTATCTCTGTGAAATATAATATAAGAATCACGAAAACAAATATCTAAACATATATGACTCAAAAACGAATAACAGTGGTAGACATTTGAAATTTTCACCAAATATTTATGTTATCATTTTCCATGTGTGGTAAAATTTTCAAATTTTGATTCTTTTTGAGCTAATTATAATAATATAGTCTATTATTTACTATTATCAGAGTCCCCCTATTATCATGATAATAACATATTATGACATCATAACATTTATAACATTAAGTTCAATGAGAAAATAATATATCAAGTATTGGAATTTTGATCCAAGCACATAAAAATTTCCATTTATGCGTCAGTAGTATGATTTGGGGGGTTCAGACCGCTGACACTTCACACACTTCACACACTTCACACACTTCACACACTTCACACACTTCACACACTTCACACACACACACACACACACACACACACACACACACACACACACACACACACACACACACACACACACACGATTATCGGTCACGTGCGCGACGTATATATGTTGGCCTTATCAGTAACCTAATCAGTAACCACTTCTTACCACTGATAACGATTATTGGGCACGTGCGTGACGTATACCTAATAGTGATAACGATTATCAACAACCGTCAAATTATCAGCAGCTGTCACCGCCACCAGAAATATCTACAACATAACGTAATTGTAACTACAGTGTAGATTATTACGATTTTGTTAAAATTCACGAAATAAAAGTAAATCGCAAAATATCAGAAATATCTACAACATAACGTAATTGTAACTGTAGTGTAGATTATTACGATTTTGTTAAAATTCACGAAATAAACGTAAATCGTTAAATATCAAAAATATATACCGTATACCACTATTGTTACTACGGTGTAGGTATTTTTAAAAATGTCAAAAATGTTGAAATTCACGAAATAAACGTATATTGTTAAATATCAAAAATATATACCGTATACCACTATTGTTACTACGGTGTAGGTATTTTTAAAAATGTCAAAAATGTTGAAATTCACGAAATAAACGTAAATCGAAAAATATCAGAAATATCTACAACATAACGTAATTATTAGTACAGTGTAGATTATTACGATTTTGTCGAAATTCACGAAATAAACGTATATTGTTAAATATCAGAAATATATACCGTATACCACTATTGTTACTACGGTGTAGGTTTTTTTAAAAATGTCGAAATTCACTAAATAAACGTATATTATTGAATATGAGAAATATCTACAACATGTTTTGCCGTAGTTTTAAAATTGTTTATAATGTACCATAATGATAGCATGCGTTGGTAACGTTGAGTGTGAAATTAAAATATATGACGCATATCTTTATTTTAGTATGTTGTAGATTTATTAAAATAGCCGAAAATCACTAAATAAACCTATATTATTGAATATGCGAAATATCTACTGCACGTAAAT